ATAAGACTACAAATCCCTCGCTGACCTTCAGACACCAGAAATGGTTCTCACAGTCAGAGTGCAAAGGCATATAAACACAGAGACGGAGAAAAGCCAAAGAGATGTTTATCTGAAAAAACATTCTTGAGACTGTGCCTAGCCACATTCTCCCAATAATCTTGGAGGAATAATTTTCTTTCTCTCTTCTTATCTCTGAGTCAGAGTTTTGGCATGTCATACAAGGTTGGAAGTATGGCAGAGTGCAAGCAAACCAAATATATGTCACTCCAGGCCAGAAAGATCATGTCTGCGAGCAAATGTCATAGGACCTGTGGTGATTTGATCCTGGCCAGTATCTAAGCACCAATATAGCCCCTTGCTCAATCCACCTTCCCTTCCCCAGAAAGACAGGAAGAAAATAATAGCAAAAGAGAGAAAAGTTGTGGGTTGTAGGGGAGTTTAATAAAGTAAGGAAGGAGGGGGGGAACCAAAAGAGATGCAGAGGTAATCTTTCATCACCCCCACAAGCAGACCAATGTCCAGCCAACCTACAAGCAACAGTCACCTCTTTTATTGCCAAACATAGCTCTATGTGGTACAAAGTACCGCTTTGGCCAGTTCATATTAGCTCTACCAGCTGTGTTTCCTGCCAGATTCTTGCCCAGTCCCAGACTACTCACTGCAGAGGGCAGAGTGAGTTAAAGAGAAAGCCTTGATGCTGTTCATATACTGCTCAGCAGCCAAAACATCGATGTATTATCAATATTGTGTTAATCACAAATCTAAAGCACGGCACCATACAGGCTGCTGCAATAAAAGTTATCCTCCATCTCAGCCAAATCCAGTGCAGAATCATCCAGCTTGTCCCAAGTTGCTGCTGCTGCCCCTTAGACTCTAGTTAGCCCTGCCCACACCTACCTGGTGTTCAGGGGTGTTTCCAATTCCAGCAAGATAGAAATTGAAATATCGGGAAAGATGGATGAGATTGCCAGCCTTTTCTTTGTTGACAGGCTTTTTGGGAGCCACGTGTGGCCTCTAGATGTCTCTGAATAAGCTGACTGAAGATAGTGGTGTCAGAAATAACCTGGCAGTGTCTCAAATTAAAAATATGTCCTATTTCACCCTGAATTGCTGTTTCCTGGCACATTTCAGGGTAACTTAACTTTTGGTACCATTTTTCTTACAGACATCATTGCCAGAACTATGCTATTAATCAGACCATTCATTATTAGTCATATGTTCACTTCCTTCTGTGGGAATATCTGAAAAACTGTCCATTAGCCAGATTCCTCAAACTAGCCCTGGCTTTTCTGGAAAAGGGAAACTCTGCAGGCATCCCTGAATATACACACACACACACACACACACACACACACACACACACACACACACACACACACACACACATGGCTTCATCCATCAAAGAGAGCACTGATCAGGAGGGGTGGGGGAGGGAGGTGAGAGAATCATCTCACACAATAAGTTCACAGTGCAGATGTCTGCCTCCCAGCTGCTTTTGTGGTAAGAAAGGTCCAGAGGTGCTCAAGATTAGCACGTCACCACATGAATCTGGTATCCAGGGAATTAAAAGGCACAAAAGGCTCCATGGGTGTCTATCAGCTCTGCAGGCAGGCAATTTGTTATCACTTACTCCCTATTCCCACACTATTCTCCATGCTCTTCCTTCTGCTCTTGTGTCCTTCTTAAAGAAGAAGACAGGGCAACTTACAGAGCCACTCTCAGAGACTTCACCCCCCAGAGTGTTCTGTCTCAGGGCTATTGTTTTTCCCCTGTCTCCTGCAGATTGGACTGCCAGGAAAGGGAAAGAGCAGGGAGTTCCTGACTTAAATGAAAGTCCACTGTGGTCAAAAATGCCTGTCTTCTTCCACTATATATGTCTCAGACTCAAGTCTCTCTGTAAGGGTGGTTTTCATAGTATTCCTAGAAGATTAGGAGACCAAAATCTTTATATTAAATACTTACCTTAAGAAATGTTTTCCCATGATAACACGGAGTTTTGTTCCTTTGCATCTAACCATTAAGTCCTGTTCTTTACTATGTCTTTGCAGGTATGAAAGGAAAAGCTGTTTTAACTAATACTTTTACCTGCCTTTTCTATTAATAAAGGTAGCAAATGTCCTTGATGGCACATGTCATGTCTCTTGTCTTTTCTAAGTATCTAAACTTTCCTTTTCTATCTACCAACACTGAAGACATGCTCAGACTTGAGAAAAGTTTCTCATGAGCTGAGTAATCTGAAGGATTATGTCAAAAAAGAGCACTTTTTCCACAAGCAGTGACTATCAACTGGATTTAAGCCTTATTCCTATAAATACTTCTGCAAACATTTTAATTCTGCTCATCCACTTAAAATTATTCACACATGTAAGACCATGTAAGATTAGGACTTTACACTATAAACACTCTGGGAAAATAAACAGATACTGGGTTTTTTTGTTTGGCTGGTTTTTTTAATTACAAACGAAAGGTTCTGAGTGGAAAGGAATGCTAAATATAAAAGAGAAAATTATACGTTCTTTATTAAAGGAAATTATTTGAACATCAGGAAATTAACAAATAGAAAACCAAAGCAGTTCTCCACCGCCACATAATCTTCTATTATTTGCTCAACTCAAGGCACTCATTAGTTCTCAACTTTGAATCCTAAAATTTGTGAAAAATGCCTCATTAGACATTATTTTGCATAGCAATATTTTCTATTTCCCGATGAAAAATGTTTCCCAATTCACTAGAACACAAACATACACTGAAATACCACTCATTAGAAGGCAAACAAAAGAACAAGACACAGTGTTAATAGCTGTCTTTCCTAGATAATAGAGATTGCATATTGAAGCTTTAAAAGTAATGTATAGCCCCACCTTATCATGACAGTGATTACAAAATGGTTGTCTTCTACAACTCCCATTAAGCTTTCTCACCTTAAACAAAACATCTTACAAGCTGGTGGCAGAACATATTGCTGAATTGCAGCTTGTATAGTTGGGATATTAGGTAACATTAAATATGTAGTGATTTCAATTTTAATAATGAAAATAATAGTTAAAACTATGAGAAAGTTATGGTAGTCTGAGTTTATATTTCTCAGGATTATATCTCTAACAAAATATGTAAAACACATTTAGAAGACATTATAGAAAGTCAGTGCTACTGTTCCAGCAGCATATTTTCACTTTAGAGTAAGTAATGACATAAATGGGTTTCTTTTGATGTAGGCTTGGAAGAGTTACAACGATTACAAGGGGAGGAATACTATGTTGTACCTTCTAACAGTTCATTTTCTTTGTTAAGGAAGGTAGCTAACACTTTCATTTAGAGACTGTGATGTGTGGCACAGGGGAAGCAGGCATCATATTCCCCTCCTTACAGATGGGGACACTGTAGAAGAAAGAGCTAAAAGCTACATCTGTACAGATAAACAGCATAATACTAAACATCAATCTTCTACAGTAAAGGACAGGCAGGTTTCAAACCTATGTCATTCACAGTTCAGGAGTCACCATAGGCTTTGATCCATTAGTCAGGAGATCTTGCATGTTTTGACATTTAAAAGAATCAAAAGTTAAAGATATGGTTTGTTATAGTTGGCTACCTTGACAGAAAATGATCCTGGCAGCTTTAACTTTCTACTGAGTGTATAGCCCAAGTAATGTTCCCAACATCATCACCAGATGAGTGGTACCAAAGCAAGAAAAAGGCAAGGCAAAGCAAATGTCTTCTGAATCTCAGCCTAACACATTTCCTGTGTGAACACAACTCACTTTTTTCTTTAAAATTTTAAGTATTCACTCTCAGATAGTAGGTGAAGAATACTGCAATACATTTTAAACTCTATTTTTACCTAAATGTTGTTTTCGTGGTATTTAAAAGACATTAATTTCATCTATGGAAAAAGACTTTTTGATCCTACTGAAAGCTTCAGCTTATCCAGAATATGTAAAGCCCAAAAGAATTTGAACAAAGAGTCCAAATATTTTAAAAACACAATAAACGTTTTTTAGAATGATTGATGAAAATTTTTATTGAAGGTATTTGGATCAGGCAGATTCAATAGCTGTTAAACTTTGGCAGAGTTTTGTCCAATGCTAATATTTAACACATAATTGGGCTTTAAGATCTAGATCTAGCTCTGGAAATGGGTCGGCTTAAATATGAAGTGAGGGCAGAATACAGAAATAGGACTGTTTGCCTGGTTTTGTTTTTCAAATATACGTAGACCTACTCAATTACACTGAGATGATTACAGGAGCTAAAGACTTACTGCTTTTTTAGAGTAACAGATGGTACTGTTGAAATTTTTGCTGTGTTAAAATATTTCAGTTACTTTCTTGATTAATAAATAATATTTACAGTAGTATTTGAATTAGGCCATGCCTGTTAATTTTGTTGTTCATAAATATAAAGTCTATTAAAAAAGGGGACTTAGGGCACTTTTTTTTCTCCTCTTGATTGTTAATTATAAATGCATATGACATATAATATTCTTATGGTGTCGTTGTTATTCTTTCAGTGCTCAAGGCACTATAATTTCTTTCATAGTGGGGGATACAATATTTATTGTTTTTATTTATAGTTAACAGCATCTGACTCTGTCATATATATTTTTCTAAGCTTCTCTTCTCTTGAGTCATCAAAATCACCCAGGGAGAGATTTACAGTAAATCAGAGCAGACGCTTTCTGTACTTGCCTTTCCCCTCTAACTGTGTTGTGTAAGTCTTATTTAAATGCGCTTCTGGAGGTAATTTTAGTGTAGGTATATTTATATTTTATATTTTCAGCAATCTTGATAAAATAAAAGATCCCTCATGCACAATAAACTTGTGTATTCAGAAGTGAACTTAAAGTTGCCCCCGTTGCGCTGGTTCGGAGGATATTATAGGTTACTTATTCACTTAAGTTCAAAGAGAGCCTGAGCCAGTCTACTAAGGCCATAAATTAGAAATGCTCTTGGCCAAATAAATCAGGACTTACACCTTCACCTTCAGTGAAATGACTCCAGTTTCACAGTAGAAAGAAGATGGACAGATTTTGGCTGCCTAACTCAATGTTTTTTCTTAACTGAGTATATCAGTGCTCTAGTTACAGCTTTAAGGATTTTTTGGAAGACATGAATGTGAGGCAGGAAAGTTCAAGATCAATTTACAGCAGTGACATGTTTTCTTACCCTATGTTTCACTGAGCAGATGGGAAGAGCTTGGGGAGGGCATGAAGTTCAGTCATGTCTGGATAAAAGCATTAACTGCAAAATCGTTACAGATTCTCAGCACGTTCTGTAAGTAGCCTTTTTCTTTCACACATGATTTTGAAATGGAAGGATATTATATCTCAGAATAAAATTCTGAGAAATATGGGTTTAGTTTTTATTTGCATAGAGGAAGGAGACTAAAATAATGCATCTATGGGAAAAACAGTATTTTTGGGTTATTTTCCTACAGTTGTGAATTGATGTATAACTTCAGAAATCACTGTAGTTCCCCAGATGGGAGTTAGGTGGAAGTTAAGCACTGTAAGTCAGCTTTACCATCCTTAAACCTCAACTCAGATGAGTTACTCTTCTGGAAGCACTTGAACTATGGAAGTGACTTGGTTTTCGGCACTAGGTTTCCTCACATACCTGAAGTCTTGCTTTGTGTCTGTCCAAGAGTGTCCCAGTTTTAGCAAGGCTAGACAAGTCTGTATAGCTTTGGGCTGTCTTGGACCTATAATTTAGATGCAACATTACCAGGAAACTTGAACGAGTTCTATACAGCAGGCATGCTGTGAGGACACTTACAAAAATTTCAATCACACTTGCTGTTTTTGTAAGAGGATGTGTTTCAATGCATTCCTTTTATACAGAAGGGTCAGCGGTTCGAGCATAAGTTTCAGACCCAGAGGACCTGGGCTTCAGTAGCACTCTGTCTGAAATACCTCAAAGCCACTTTTCCTATGATTTGCCCTAAATAGGAAGCAATTGGCTATGTGTGGCCTGGGACAGTCAAAGTCTATGGTAAATCCTATTTTAACAACTATTTGAACTCCTTTTAAAGCAATTTCACTATGGGGAAACCTACTAAACCTACTAAAATAGGCATTGTACTACAGCAAAAAGAAGAAGAAAAAAGGGAAGAGTGAGAGGAAGAGAGAAGGAGAGAATGCTCACCAACTCTGTGGTTAAAAACCTCATTTCATAGATGGTGTTGGGAAGTTCTGGGTTCCACCTCTTGCTCTAAGGCCCTAAACCTTGACACATCTTGGAAAAAATATAAATGGAGTATAAGTTTAATTTATCTGTGAAATTGAAACACAACTTGAGGGAGGTTTCTTTTCTCTGCTAGTTTAGATTAGCTATTTTTCCATGTTGTAGCATTATAGCTCTTGGCTCAGCATGCTGGTTATTATGGATCATCTTGTAAGGTCCTTTCCTATCTCCAACTGCTGTTTGCAAAGGTGTCTAAACATTACGGTGTTCAGTGCTGTGATATCCTGGTGCTTCCTTAATATTGTTGTTAGTCTGCATGTTTGTTTTCCCTGTCTGACATCACTACCTGTAATCATGAGGAGTCAGTCTCACCATATTTCTACCGGAACAGTGTTAGGAAATACAGCTTTTATACCCCTTCAGGTAATGTTAAACATTTATCTGCAAAATATGTGGAGATATCTTAAATTTCCTGGGAAAGCTACTAAACCAAAAAATAATACCTATTTAGCAAAACAAACAGGTAATTTCTGGCCAGCATTACAAAGCAGAAACTGCAATGTCGGAAGACATAGGTGCTCATAGAGTTCATGGAAGTGTTGAGAATTTAGGCTAGTTAGTCAAATTGGATTTTGAGGGCAGAGATCAGATTATTTCATGGACTGGACTATAAAATTAAGCTGAAATTACTGTATGCTGAGAAGGGACTCTGGCTGTTTGTTGCAATTGAGAATATTTTGGGATGGATTTATGACAGTGTTTACCCAATTTAAGAAAGAAAAGAAGTTGTACAAAGCACTATTTATGTGCTTCTCACGCAGGTGTAACACACCAGGCAAGCAAGTCTGCTGCTCTGCTTGTAACATGTATGCAGAAAGAGGACACCCACCACCCGTGTATCTATTGAAGTTCAGATCATGCCTCATTGAAAATAGAGCTGCATTTGGTTTCCATGGGGTGGAAGAAAGTTAGTATTTGAGCAATTCACCACCTAATTCACTAATCACTGATAAATAAGTTAAGTAATTTATACCCTGACTACAAAATGAAGTATGCAACAGTGATAGTAGGCAAAAGACCTTAAGACTTTTTAAGATAAACTCACAGAGAACTCCTGCATAATTGCAGTGTTCAAGTACAACTGCTGAGTTTCTTGTATACCATTCTCCTGGGCTGAAGTAATACCTTTCCCCCATGGACTTAAAAACTCTTTACAAATACTACTGTGTTTGTTTAGTTAAGGTTCACAATATGAGTTAAATATTTGTTTGAGGGCAGAAAGCAAAGGAATCTATTGGATGGAGGTTAGAGAAGCCATGAAGCCAGAGATGTGAGAGGGACTGATGGCTACAGAGGTGTTTGAATGTCTAATCAAAGAGAAATATTCCTTTCCTGAACTCTGTTTCCTCTTCAATACCACTTCACCTTTGGGATAAAGAAGAAAGATGAGGTACAGAAAAAAAACTGCTGTTAATATTTTGTGTATCAGATAGTGGTTTAAAGAGACTATCCTCTCAGATTTATTTGGTGAGTAAAAGAGTATAAAATTATTAGGACTCAGAGCATAGCTTTTCTAGTCCACCATTTTAAGCTTGGTAGCATAAACATCAGGCCAAAAGCTGGTGAATGTTCAAGATCAAGAAGTATAGAGAAGAGAGAGAAGAGAGGGAAGAGAGGAATGAGGCACAGATGGGGAAGGGGCATGCAGCTGCCTGGCCCAGCAGTAGGGGAAAGAAGAAGACAACACTTTGCAAAAAAACTGACACAAATTTGTTTTGTCAGATGTGCCTCTGTAGCAGGAATCAAAGGAGTTCAAGTGCTTCAACTTTCTTCTCCTTGATGTACTGAACCTCTCTCCCTTTTTGCACACTACTTTCCAGGGCCACTCTAAAGGTGAGCCCTTTGTTTTGGGAGCTCCACAGATTCTAAGATCCTACTGCTCATAAACTGCTGTACTAATCCAACACATACTGCTGGCTCAAGTGCACATACATTAATCTTGCTAGAAACCTTTGTTTTAAAGAAAGAGAAAAGGAAAAGAACAAAAAATTAAGCAAACCTCAGTGGTTATATTCCAGCCAGCTGCTGAGCTTCCAGTAAAATTCCCAGCACATGTTCGTGTTTTTCCTTTTATTTCAGGACTTACTGTGAAGAGGGGACATAAACTGAGTGAATGTGGATGAAACTACATCTTTTCTAATAAGTTACATATGTTTACATGAGTGCTTGAACTACCCTATGCCACGATATGATTAGTTTGACAGGAAATAAATAGGTGGATAGATATCTCTCTTGCTAGTTGAAATGTGATTTCTCTCTTCCCAGTACTGTTTAATACTGTGAAATATTAAAAGGAAGGTAAATACAAAGCAGACATTTCTGACTTCTACCTAGTGCTGTTCTTTATTAGTAATCCGATGATTGACTTAAATTACTTTGAGGCTCTTCACGCTAATGACAGAAGCAATACAGACACACATTGACGTGAATTGGTCCCAAGGTGTTTCCTGAACTTAGTGAACTTGTCCAAAGGAAGAGCAGCAGAAGGTATTCAACCTGTTTGCCTCATCTGTTTTCAGCTGATGTCTGAGAGACTTGGGAAGATTTTCCTCAGTTCTGTCTCTAAGGACAAGGAATAAAGAGAATAGAAGAGAATCTTTTACTCAGCGTTTAGCAGCAGTTCCTAGAGTAGTGGGTAGTAAGATATATTCTCCTTTGAACAGATTTCCAATAAATCTGGAAAGGCACAGGGGGTAGAAGAGATCAATGAACCATGCTGAGTTACAGAATGACCTTACAGCCCACAGGAAGAAGATCTCATTGGTGTTTATTTTTAGATGACAACTGTGTTGAACTGACTTTTCTTTTTTGGCAAAGGCACTAAGAACAGAAGTGGTATAAATAACACCTACGATGATTTTGAATACAGCAGAAAGGAATCCGGTGAGGCGTCCAGCCTCCTGTTAATGTACACATAGAACCCCAGTAACCATCATTGTAAATTTTAACCATGCAGTGGTAAAAGAATAAATCTTATGCCAAATAAATGACACTACTGGCTATTTTGTGTAAGGTTGCTAGCAAAAGCTTGCCTCATGAACAAGCTCACATCTCAAGATTTATGCACAAGTTTGGAGAGAGCTGCGAAAATAAAACAGGTGTAGCAGCAGTTGGCAGTGACGTAGGTTTTCACTGAGTCTTTAGAAATACAATAAAAAGCAGAGATAGTTTAAGAAGAGATTGTCAAATAAATGGAAAGGAATGAAAGAAGAGATACAGAGTAAACTCTCCAGTCACATTTTAACATTATTTATTTTCTTATTTATTTAGGTAATTCATTTTTGAGGAAAAATTATGGATGACAAGATTTACTCTCTCAGAGCACAGACTGCTTTTTGTTTGTGTGAGTACAGTGAAAAGTCCACCTTAATTTTGGCTAAACAAGAAGCAACATCTTGACAGTATAATTTCCATAATGTCTGTTTTTATTAATTTCTGTTCTTGAAACCTCAGCTCAGACTCAGACTCAGGAGTCTTTTTTTGTTGTTGTTGTTATTAATTGGAATCTTAGTTTTCACTAAGTGACAATGAAGTAACAAGTGCTAATGCTTGCAGATATCATGTTGAAAATGTGTTCTCATCTCGCTTCATTTTAGGGGGAAGAAAAAGTGACAAAAACATTTCTTAAACTCTTATTTATTCTTTATTACTGTTTATAATATGTGTATAACATTTTTACTGTTATTCAGATATATCATGATGCATGCCTGTTTCTCTGCCAGGGATTATTGATGCTTTCAGTTGCAGCACTGTACTTTTCCCTGTTTAGCATATTCCATTGTAATAGGCATCTTAAAATCAGAGTGTCTTGGCTATATATTGAGTGTTGTGATGGAGATGAAGAAACGAAGAATAGCTGCCAATATGAATACAGATATCTGAGCACAGACTAAGCAGGGACATTAATACTGTACTCCTTAAGGGGAGCAAGGACAGCTCAGGCACAGCAGGAACAGCTGCTGTTAACATGGCTGGTAACTGAAATGCTGCCTCTTGAGAGGGAGGAAATGCTGCAGCTTTCTGTGTTTTCGCTCTGGTATACTTGGATTTAGGCACTGATTTTCCATGACTAACATATTTGATCCCCAATGCATTTCCAAACTTTTTTTGGTTGAAGTGAGCATCCATGGGAGCCCAGGGGGCCTTTCCTTGAAGATTTTCTTTTTACGTATCCCATTTTATTGATTTATCCCACAAGGGAAAAATTAACTTCGTAAAAGAGATGGGGGGGCTTCCTCCCCTCATTTTCAAAATTAGTCTGAGAAACAGAAGAGGAGAGGAATAGTCCTTGAAGAGCTAAATAGATCTTTAAGAATTTGTGAAAATTACATAGGAAGTGAGAGGGAATATCTCTACAGATATTTTTGCCAAAACACTAGTAACATGTGAGAGTCATTCTGTGAAGACATAAAATTATGATTCAATTAAAACCAGATGATAGGGAAAAAAAGTCATTCTGAGTCTAGACTTAAGTTTAATGACTCAAAATCATATAAACTCAGTTAAATATGCTGACATAGGGTTTTTTCATTAATTCAAGAATAAACATTGTGCTTGTGCTTGAAAGAAAAGTTCAATGTGTTATATTTTGCATACTTTTTCTGCTTTTTATTAAAATACAGATTGAGAATAAATGAAAAATTATTCTAAAGGAAAAGGGTGTGAAAAAATTGAGCATGTGCTCTCTGTAAAGGACAATATTAAATCTCATATTACATTATAATATAATTTAATTATAAAGAAAAAAGATTAAATACTCTGTTTATGGCTCTTGGTACATGCTGAATGGTATCTATAATTAATTTATTTTACAAGATGGTCCATACCTTTACAAGAAACTATCATGCTCTGTTAAGTTTTGAGGATCTTAGCATATATTTATACAAAATTCAAATGCTATCAGCCCTGCTTTTTTCAATGGAACTTTTCACAAAGTTTCATTTTGCAAAACTATTCTGATAATAATAGAGAGGAAAAGAGGAAGTCCCACTATAAGCTATAGAACTATGTTTCAAAAGTTTCATGGACATGAGCAGGAAAGACACATAAGGCTGTGTGTAAGTTTTATATTAGATGAAATAGGTTTTGTGTTTGGTTCTTGTAGCCAACAGACATAGCACAATTTGTGTCCACACAAATAACCTCCCCTCCAACCAAAACGTGTTGATGACACCCAAACAACCTATTGGGAATGGTTTCAAACACGTCACCCTTTAAAGCATTCCCAAACATGCTAGTTATCATGGTAATTTAGTAGTTTTGCTAGTTCTCTTGGACTAAATATACCAGAAACCAGGCTAACAGGTTAGCAATATGAATGATTACATATCAGTATCCTACTCTTTTAATTTTCTGAAGACGTAACTGTAAATATTAGATAACTAATAAAAATTACTTAGTGGGGAGAAGTAAAACCACAGGTATCCTCAATGTTCAGGAGGTGATGATTTTAATACCTTATGTTGACTGGTAGCTTATACAAATTCCACTAAGTGAAAGCACAGCAACAGCAAATGTAACTACAAGTCAGCAATACAACAACCAAACCCAGCTAATGACTACAGACAATTACAGCAACAGAACAATGATATAATCATAAATTAAACATGGCAATGAATATGTATGTGTGTATGTGTGTATATGTGTATGTATCTATCTACCTATCTTTGTAGCAATCCTATAAGGCAAGTAACAAAATTATATAAAAGGCAGAGGATATTTATAATAAACTCTGTAGCACACAGTCATTTGCAGCATAGCATTCTGGTTATGAGTCACTCTTCAACCATTGGCACCTAGAAGTCACACTAAAAGCATGGGGAGATCCAGGCATATCCTGCCCAGTATGTCATGGTTATTGGAGAAAATGCTCACCTTTCTCAGCCCCTGGCACCTGCAACGCTGATTCTCTTCTGCTGACCCCACATTGATGAATTTCTAAGTTGTCTTTTATCTCCTTATAATGCCATGACCCACTGGCCACATGCATTCTCAGCTGTCCAGGCTGTCCTTCTGCTATTTTGCTGAATAGATTCCAGTTCAAACACAAAGAGACTGGGGAGGCAGTTCTTTGAAACTGGCAGAGAGACAGCTCTTCCCTTTTCTTTTTTTACAGCTGTCTTAGCCACGAAGTTATTGCAATGTTCTATTCATTATGCTGTCTCAGCAGCTTGTTCGTTCAGCAATTCTGTTATAGTCTACAGATATTTTAAGGCCCACCAGTCATGCTTACTCAGCGACTGCGTTAGCCTCTGTCCTACCTCAAGCAATGTCAGATGCAGTTTTGCAGAATTTAGCAAGAATTGTACTATTCAGTGCTCCAACCCCATGAACACAGAGGGAAAAGTGATATATTGTGTCCCATCTTTGCTCAGCAGTTGCCTTCCCAGCAAAAACAAGATGTGCCAAGGCTTACTGGTCTGTATTGTAGTGGCTTCAGCCACTACAATTCCTTTGTCAAAAAGTCAGGATCCCCTTTGCCATTTTGGATTTCCTCTTGCAGGTATCCATTTGAGTTTCAAGTCTGTTCAAGCATAGCCAAGAAAACAATTCTTAATCAACACCTTTCTGGGTCACTGGAACTCCTTGTCAGCAAATATGTCTCAGGTGAGACTGCAGGAAAGTCATCATGATCTTTTCCCTTTCCCTGTATGATGTTAGCCTTTACCACTCTGAGGCACATGATGACCACTTGATAACCTTATTTCAAAACCATGCACAAATACATTTGCCACTTCTGAGGTAGGTGAGAGTGATCTGTTTCTGCATAGAGAAATCTCCACAACTCCAAGTGAAGATGATGGGAATACACATTACTTACCAGCGACTACAGTGCTACTCAGGCTCCACACAATGACCAAATATGTTGCCGTATGGTCAACACCCAGGAAATTCTTCCCTATCCTGAAGGATTTGTTTACTGTTTGATCAAAGGCTGGAGTAGGGCAAAGAGCAGATGGTGGCTTCGGTGGCTGCAGTGTGACAGCACCAGGATTAGCCCCGGTGTAAACAAGCAGAGTGACAAGCCAAGAGGAGGAGGATTTGGTTGACAAAGAGCATTTCCACAGGTCACCTGCTGTAAAAATAGCATATGGTTAAGGAGATTGCAGACTGCTGTTTAGATTTAACATGGTCTGTGCTCCTTGGCACCAAATGTAGAATAAAAGAATTACCGGAAAAGCAGCACTGAGAAAAAGAACATTCTGTGTGTGTTTCCAAAGGAACAAAAAAATAAAATAAAAATAAGAAATGTAAATAACTGAAGAGATCTCCTGACCCTGGGAAGCTGTGATTCTCCACCCCTCCTCCACGATTTAAACTCTATACAAGTACCTAGAAACTTCAAATATTGAAAATGTATTCAAACATTAATACATAAAGTGTCACATTTATTCTACGCTAGAGGAATGATGCGATACCTGATGTGGTTAAAATATCCCCCCCACACTAATATATGAATACCAGATGTAAATTTTTTGTGCACCTTAGCTCCTTCTCAGGTCTGCATGTCCAGATGGAAGTCATAATTTTGTGTTTTAATTAAATATAGAATGCTCACCCACTTTCTGCACATTAAATGTTAATGACAAGACCGTGACATAAGTGTATATTTATTTTTTTAATAAATGTGGTTCATAGATTTGAAGGTTCTGTTGACATCATAGACTATTTTCCTCCCAAGTTTTATTAGTGTTTTTCTAACCTGTTTCATATTTCTCTAAAATGAGGCCACTGACACACCCAAGCACACTTTCTGCTGGTGGTTACAATCAAAGGAATAGCTGACAGAAGACTGAAGTAAGCAAAGAGAAGAATATTTGCCATGCAAAACTTAATTGTTGCTGAAGTTAATTAAATTAAAATGAAAGTCCTGGAAATTCTTGCACTGCACAGAAGTTTTTACTGAGATGTCTTTTGCTTTTGAGTCTGGTTTGTTTTTTCTTACATATCAACTCCCTGATGTACAGTCTTCTTTGCACATTTAAATTAGTTGGTTGCTCAATATCACTTAACAAGATTCTAAACCAGAATTATGAAGCGTTCATAATGACCTTTAGAGCTTAAGTATTCCTCTAATCTATCTTTTTACCATCGATAAAAGATTTTTCCGGTAAAGAAGTAATTTAAGCTCAATATCTTTTAAATTTTTCTAATCTAAATAAAAGCATATTTTAAAACCTTTCTTTTTGTGGGAAAACAGTGAATTGAGTCAAATTTCTAATGAATTTCACATATTGCCCTACAATTGGTTTAAAAAATAAACAAAAAAATCCAATCACCATACTCTTTGAATAAGCTGTAGCGGTTAAAAAAAAAAAAAAGAAGAATTAAAGAGTTTTTAAAA